ATGCAATTCTTCACGAACTTCACATCTGCACAGTTCAATGGGAGGGACTTGCCTTCAGCTGTCAGACGGTTAACTATGGCATCTCTGACGAAGAGATGATCATCACCAATCGAGCGCGATCGCCATCAGCTCGACTCACAGTAGCTTTAGACTGACTTGCTCGTGCTCGTGATGATGAATACCCATACTAGGCAGGACACAAGACTCCCACGTATGTGAGAATGGCCCATGTCCCAGGTCATGGCATAAGGCTGCTACTGTCACACAAACCTACAACGTACAGGCGCGAGACTGATGCAAAGTAAATGCCACATCGAGACTTACCACATCCTTCTGACTAATACCGAGGTGAGGTTGTCGGTCCCGTAGACCAGTTGCGAAGGTTTGTCTGAAGCGCATTTATTCGAGGTGATACGGCAATATGGAGGAATTCATCAGGACACTCGATATACGACGAGCTTCGATGAGAGGTGGTGAGGTCAACACTCAGTGACTATCGTTGAGGTGAATTCAATAGGGGAAAGAAGTCCTACGCCAGGTGAGCAGCCCCGATGCTATGTTCGAATCTGGAGTGTACCCCACCGTCGAATACGTAGGATGTAGCACCTAATGAGATTTGTGGTAGTCAACTCATGCGAGTCGAAACTATGAACATCATCTACCGAGCTGAGTGAGGTCCCTAAGTCTCTGGAATTCCGGCGTATCAATAATGTCTTTGCATAGGCTAGGAAGGCAAATCATATTGTGTACTGGATCCATCGTGCCTGATTTTATAGGGGTCAACAAAGGTTTATCAACACTCGGTGACCTACGGAAGTCTCGCTTCCACCAGACCTGAGCACTCCGTCGTTGTCGCACGATGTATGAATGAGATATCGACGGCGAGACGTCGGCAAGCGGAATAACGAACTGAGCCCAACGAAGATGAAAGGATTATCCATACATCAATGAACGTACAAATTCTGAGTTCATCCCGACGGTAAGCTCGAGCTCGGCCTCCTCGTTCGGGATATTGAATGCCGCACATAGGGTATACTCAAGGTTACTTCTCCACTCAGAAGACTCCACGTAGCGAATTCTACTCACACTATACGACGGAAGTGAATCGTTTGTAGGCATCGCTACTTCGTCTTCGCTCTGCTATCCGCGTCTTCGAA